TTCATGTCATTCTATTCAGAGTTTCATTTTTTATCGAATAAAGTAGCAATATACCGAGGGTGCCTTTAAAAATCAAAAGATGTAATCATTTCGGTGAAACAGGAAGGGACCAAAAACAATTGAATACGTCAATAAATCCTAATTTATGTCATATACCTACTAACATACAAATCTGTTTTTATCTGAAAAAATAAAAAAGTTATAGGGGTGAGCCACTTTTGAGACGACCCGGTATATTAAAAAATATTGTTTCATAATGTAATATCATTTTCAAATTCTTGTATGTTGTTTTAGATTCTGAAGGTAATTTTAGAATAAACCGGAATATATTTTTAATAAAAACATTATTAATTATTAACAGGGTTATAATTATGATTTTGTTACAATGTAAGTAAGTAAATAATGTATTGTAAGAGAAAAAATTCAGATTTTACATTTTACTAAAATATTATCTAAATAAGCGCCTTTCTACAACAACACCACTGACTCCCAATAGGTAAATTGAGAGTTGCCTACCGGTCGAAAGTCGTTTCAAGACTTAAATGGATTATTTAAGTCAAATTTCTTACAAATTTGGCACTGGCGAACCATATTTTATAGTTCTTGAACAGAAAAAGTATAAAATAAACACTTAAGGACTACAAGCTAAGAAAATGCGTTAATACAGCCGGGGACATAGCGGCAACAAAGCTTTACCGGACACGTGCGACGCGTACTACAAGGTAATATATGAATGAATAGGCTCCCTCGCCTCTAATCCGTGTTGTCATATTGTAAAGAACGTATCCTTTTTAAACAGTATCCGACTTATAATTTAGTAGTATGACTATTTAATACATCTATGGAATATTAAAACGTACTTTATTAAAATGTAGTATTAATATCTCAATACATGTGTATAACAAGAAAAAAATATTGATAATATTAAAGACGTGACAACATAGGCTGGATGAGGAAGGCTCGGTCGACTGTACCCAGAAGTAAACATTTGTACAAAAAAGATTGTTTGTCCGCGTTGAGATGTAAATAGTGTAGTCTATATTTTATTTTAAGTCTATGATCACAACACAATTCATTTAAACCAAAAACTCGTAATACAAAACTAAAGTGTCAAAACGAATGATAATGTCAGGAAATAAATAAATAAGAATACCCAGCGCGAAATTTAAATTCAAGTTAGTCAGTGCGGCGGACTTCCCCTAGGAGATGCAAGACCTTGTCATTGGTGGGGAAGCTCCTGGTCAGGTGCTGGGGGGAATCCCCTCTAGCACTTGGCTTGGTCTAAGAAGCATCTCACTCATCGTCTTGTCCCTGACTGTAGTGTCGTGGCCAGGGAATTGCACCAAGACATAATAACGATACCGGGCGGGGCTACGGACAGCCTCAACCTTGGTGCACCGGGGCCACCCCATTGTATTTTACCCCTTACTTCTACATACGGGGCTCTGTAGTAGTGGACCGACTGTCCCTAGCGACTCATAGGAACACTATGAGATCTGGTAATAATAGTAATAAAAACATCACCGGTGAAACTGTGGGGAAATCCCCTAGCGACACTGGGAACAATAACAATGAAAGTTCCAAGGGGCCAAACCCAAAGAGAACTACAGGAGAGGTGGTTGACACTTCCGTGAGACCATCCTCCGCAAGTGACATACAAGCTACCACCTCCTCCAAGGGTCGGGAGCCTACCTCCTACCTCTAAACCCAACAAGCGACACAAGCTACCGTTTCGTCTACCCGGCCTGGGTCGTAGCTCCTCGACTGTGAGGGACACGGGTCTCCGTAGGAACTCCTGGGACTGTATGATGAGTTATAACTCAAGAAAAGGGGACACAATAGATCTCTAAGGTCGCAGAGATTAACCCCCCTCCCACTTATTCTAATTCTAAATTCTAGTCAGTGCGGCGCCGAATATGTCCATGGTTGGCAACAATGAACTTGAAAATCGCGCCCTCGATTACGTAACTAAATGTTTAATTGATATGAAATATATCTTTGTACTTTTGTGCTTAGGCGTAAAAGTGCTTTACTTTTATATCTAGGCGTTAAAATGACGTTTTTACATTGTCAATCACATCGCAAAAATATTACTGGCTGCATTCAGCAGACGGAATCTGATTGGTAATCGATTATTTACGATTAGTAATCGTTGTTTAGTGTTTTGTAATTTTTCTGAATGCCTTTCTTTCAATTCTACGATTGATACGGAGCAGGCGCTAGTTTTTATTTCATTTTTGACATGGTTTTTGACTTTTTTATATTACCATCATTTATTTATATCATTTTCATTTATACCGTTTGTGTATTTAATGAATAATACTTTTTTTTACTTTAATTCTTACACTAATAATTTTGTTTATAAATTTATACAGTATGTACATAAAATATGGAATAAATTCATTTTCTCAAACTGGGATTTTAGTAAAAAAAAGTGCTCGAACACGTCGATCTATTTTTTAAAAGGGGCACATTTTACTCATATTACCTTGCCTGTAAATACTGTAATACCTTGCCTCTAGCTTCACCAACCGAGTGGGGGTGAGTGGCACTCCTAGTTATTGTAATGTGAGGGGTGGTCGAGTGATGCCTTATTTTAAAGGTCTCTCGCTAGAGATTATAACCCTAGATTTTGAAGTTGCTACCATAATTTCTGTTAATATGGCAGCTTGACAAAGCTAAAAAAAATTGGAATTTTGACAAGCTGTCATGTTAACAAAGATGACACTAGCAACTTCAAACTCTAGGACTATAATCTGGAGCGAGAGACCTTTAAAATAAGGTATCACTTGACCCCCGTTCCCATTACAAAAACCAGGGGTGCTACTCGCCCCCCCGACCCCACTTAGGGGGTGAAGCTGGAGGCAAGGTAATATGCCTAAAATGTGCCCCTTTTATAAAATATATCGACGTGTTCGAGGATTTTTTTTTAATAAAATCTCAGTTCAAGAAAATAAATTTATTCCATACTTTATGTACACACTGTATAACTACGAAATAAATAATAACAAATTGTATTGTATTGTATTTTACTAAGAGTGAATCCCAGGTGGGACCCTCCACTGAGGCCGCGAGGGCCTATTGTGGCTCAGTTTCTACAAGCTCTTTAATAGAAAAAGAGCATTAAAGTTCGCCCTCAAGACCCAGCCTTTTAACATAGGCCGTTATGTCCGAGGGCGATATGTCTTCTAGGTCTGATAAGTCTAGCGTGGGTTTGCCAAACACTCAAACCTGGTCCTGCCCCAGCGGGGCAGGTACACATAACTTTGCTTCATTGTTTCGTCATCTTCCATACAGAGTCGGCATTCGGCGTTTTCCACCAGTCCCATCCTCTGTAGGTGTGATCTCAGCCGGCAGTGGCCCGTGTATACTGCAGTAAGCGTACGCGCTCCGTTCCTACCAGCTTTTAGGAGTTCATCTGTTCTACGTTTGGATGGCCCTGCTAGGATTGTTTTGGCATGTTCCATTCCGGGACTGTCATAGCAGTCCCGAAGCGTTACACCCCTAACCCATTCACGGAGCCTGTCTCTTACGAGATTTTTTGGTACGCTAAGTGTCGGTTCTGGGCCCACGAATGGCGAGCCTGCACCAGTTTTGGCGAGGGAATCAGCACGTTCATTTCCCTCTAGGCCGACATGTCCCGGTATCCATATTAGCGACACTTTGTTTCCATCTCCTAATATATTGAGTATTTTCTTACAATGAAGAATCGTCCTGGACGTACTTTTCGTTGCCTCAAGTGCTTTCAACGCGGCTTGACTATCCGAAAATATGCTTATTGTTTTCCCGGTGTATTGCTGTTCTACCAGCAGTTGCACACATGTTTCAATCGCATATAGCTCAGCTTGGAAAATAGTGGTGTGTTTTCCAAGACTGTGGTAGATCTCAGTCTTTGGACTGCTGCAGTAAATTCCTGCGCCAGATCCTTTATCATTTTTGGATCCGTCCGTGTACCAACACATTTCCGCAAATAATAAGCCGTTTCTCGGCTTATCCCATTCGTCCCTATTCGGAAACAGGACGTTGTAGGTGCGCGTCAAGAGTTGGATTGGTGGTGTGAGATCCGAGACCATTCCCAGAATCTCATCCGATTGTAGTTCGTCTACTAGTCGGTTTTGTATGAACATGATTGTTCCTTGACTCTCTCGTGCCATATTTAGAAACCTATAAGTAGCCCATCTCGCCTCCCTCTCCAACATAATTTGAAGAGCAGGTAAGTCGAGTAGGGTTTCCATAGCTTTTGACGGCGTAGAATGAAAGGCACCAGTCACCGCTAAGCATGCTTGTCGTTGTAATTTTGACAGTTTATTCTTTGCCGTTGTTTGGTTGGCTTTCTGCCACCATACGTGATAATAGGTCTGATGGCTGTCACGTATAGCCAGTACATATTTTTGGGGTTTAATCCCCAGTTTCTACCACAAATTCGGCGGCATGCCCATAGAGCATAGCAAGCCTTTTTTGATATTTTTTCCAGATGGGAGTTCCAGAAGTTTTTTGTCCAGGTTTAATCCTAGATACTTAACTTCCTCCGCAAACGGAATTGTCTCACCAAGAAGAGTGGGCGGTTTTCTTGGTGAATAACAAATGCATCAACAGCATTCTTTTCTATAAATAGCCTTGCATTCTATTCAGAGATTGTCATAGTTAACTCTTTTTATATAAAGAAATCGGTAATCGTTAATCACAAATCGCTCTTTGAGAACGGTTATAAAAATTGTGTAGATCAACGTCTGTATGTTACGCGTGCCTGTCCGATTACCAATCGGCGATTAGTGATCGGAAACTTTCAGGTGTGTTCAGCACATGGTCAGTAATCGATTACTAATCGAGGACGTGTGCTGAATGCAGCCACTATTATATTAATATAATACTTTTGTGACGTTTACCCTACAACCTAACCTAACCTAGTCTTTTTATTGAAATATCCGAATTACATGTATAACCTAACATTATTAATATAGGTACATAAAAAACAAGTAATGATTAGTGATACTTTTTAGGACTTAGAATTAGAACCCTGGACCTTGTTTCAATTGTACTACGACGCTTACCAAGCCCTTTGGACTGTCGTTCTTTTTATAGGGATAATTTTACGAATCAGGTCCAGTTTCATAGCTTTATTGTGGGTACTTTTCGCCACCATAGGAAATATATTGAAGTCTAGACTGTTTGGAAAATGGAGGGGTAAGTATTTTTATTGTTGGGAATTGCATTTAGATACCTTCACGTTTTCTTGTGATTCCTTTCAGATTCCAAGTGGCTTTTAATGCACGTATTTGTGGTAGGGTTACCGTTCGTGCAAAATTTCTATCTTATGATTGCAGCTTTATACTTGTTCATACCCATTATGGGACGTGCGGGCTCAGGTTAGTATTATTATAATTTATATAATATCTAATATACAGGGTGGTCCGAACTGTATTCCGGAAACTTCGGCAACATATTCTGCAGATCAAATGTTCTGCAGATCAGTGCCGCCCAAATGGCTTAAGTCGTATCTTGGCAACAGAAGGCAGCTTGTAAGGATTGATACGTCTATGTCTTCTTGTAAGCCTATAGAATGTGGTGTCCCTCAGGGTTCAGTACTTGGCCCTATTTTATTTCTGGTGTTTATCAACGATATTGCAAATCTAGACATTAGCGGTAAAATCTGCCTCTTTGCGGACGATACTAGTTTCACTTGGAGCGGCCCAGATGTTACGGCACTATATGATACTATATCCAGTGACTTACGCACCATTAAATCTTGCGATTCTAATCTCCTATGCCTCAACCTTTCAAAAACTAAAGTTTTGTCATATAAAAGTACTATACAACCTTTTGTACTTAATAACACCACTATTGACGTCCTGGACTCTGTGAGATTCTTAGGACTTGTTGTGGACAACTCGTTAAAATGGGACTTGCACATCGAAGCCAAGAAACTAAGCTCTGCCTGTTTTGCGCTAAGATCAGTGTCTAAGGAACTTAACTCATCAACCTCTAAAATGGTCTATTATGCCCTTTTTGTGTCGCATCTTCGTTATGCCCTTCCATTCTGGGGTACTTACTGCGCGACAAAATTTCATCGTATTTTCAAACTTCAAAAGAGAGCAGTTCGCTACTTATTGGGACTAAACAGTAGAACTCACTGCCAGAATTTCTTTAAAAATTTCAAAATACTGACTCTTCCTTCCTTATTCATTTTTGAATCCGTTTGGTTAATCCGCAAGCACATATTCTCTATTCCGGAAAGGCCTTCTCACAACTATCCACTTAGGAATGCGGAGCACGATATTTATCTGCCAACCCCGAGCTCAGAACTAGTTAAGGGCTCAATACTGTACAATGCCAAGAAAATGTACAATCATTTGCCTTCGAATATCAAGTCACTTTCATTCTTTCCCGCATTTCGCAAAGCTCTGAAATCATACTTACTGGAGAGAGCCCTATATGCGGTAAACGACTTTTTTGTTGATGTTTAATCATGAACAATTTAGAATTTTAATTTTAATATTTTGATCATCTCACACACTGGTTAAAGGTCTAGTATTTAATATTTTATAACTCTTGATTTTATGTTATTATAACATGATTTTATCAATTTACAGTTTTCCTTTTGTAAAATTTTCTAGATACGCCTGTGTTCTGCATTGTCCATATATGTTTTATTTATAATTTTATGACGTAATTTTTTTTTTTGAATTGAGTTTTATTGTATGACATTATTTTATTATTTGTATATTTGTTTTTGTGCTTTTTTTGTTTTGCTTTGTCGATGAAGCTGTTTTGGCTTTTTGTACAATAAAGCGTTGTTTTTTTTTTTTAGATAAAAATAAGTAAAAGAGTTCATATAAATGTATGTCCTAAAATGCTTACTTTCGGAGATACAGGGTGTAGAAGTTTCATTTTTATTTCGATTTTTTTCAAATTATTTCTGAAGTAACGTCAATATTTGAATGAAAATTGGTATCTTGGGGGTTTTTGACATGAGAAATTTGATTTCGATGTCAATATGGCTCTTACTTGTAGAGGGCGCCAGCTACGCATTTTTTAACTGGTTTGAAGAGTAATAACTTTTCGTCCGTACTTGTATAAAACTAACTAGTTCAAAAATATACATTTACAACATTTTTTACGTAAAAAAGGTAAAAATCGCTACGAGTAATGGTTCTCGAGATATTTGGAATCGAAATTACCAAACCCTGTCATCATTGACATAAATTACACATATTGACTAATTAGTTATTAGACTAAAATCATAATTTTGATATGTTTTTGTGACAAAAGTTCAACAGAAACTGTTTTTTCATCATTTTTTCGAAGAAAAATTTATGATTAGTTTAAAACAATAAAAAGTTCCCAAATTTTTCATTTCAGTCAAATAACTATCTACTCAACATATTTATTTTTAGTCAATAATGACATGTATTGACTATTTCCATTGTAAATATCTTGAGGACGGTTGCTCGTAGCGATTTTTACCAAGAGACATTTTTTACGTAGAAAATCACGGAAATGTATATTTTTTTACTCAGTAATTTTATACAGGTACGGACAAAAAGTTGTTACTCTTCAAAACAGCTAAAACATGTAGGTGGCGCCCCCTACAAATAGGAGCCATATTGACATCAAAATCAAATTTCTCATGTCAAAAAACTCCCAGACACCAATTTTCATCCACATATTTACGTTACTTCAGGAATTATTTGGAAAAAATCGGAATAAAAATGAAATTTCTACACCCTGTATCTCCGAAACTAAGCATTTTAGGACATACATTTATAAGAAGTTTTTTATTTCTTTTTATCTGCAGAATATGCTCCCGAAGCATAGATAAAAGAAAATAATCTTCTATTAAGATAGATATGAAACTTAATAGTAAAATTTTGGGTCAAAGCGCCCCTCCGTGTTCTTAGTAGAGACTACGTTTAACCCAGCGCCTTCGCCTTTTCTGCTGTAAATATTTTTTATGTTTATATTTGATTTCAAAGGATTTAGTTTTAAAGTTACACTGATATATTAGTATATCAGAGTAACTTTAATAAAACATAAGAATATATATATTTTACAGTTTATTAAATATAAATTTTGACTACAGGGTAGAAAGTAAATCACAATATTTGATAAAACTTATAAGTATATATACCATTTTTACAGTTAATAAATAATAAAACTATTTCTGACTACGATATTTAAAATTTAGATAGATAGAATATTAAAAAGCATACCGGTATTTGCAGACGCAGGCCCAAATTCAATAAAAACCAAAACTTTTCCTGCGAAAATCGGGCTTTTTTCACAGAAAAGGTATTTTTTTGATTTACCAACAATCATTGTCAAGTTGACAATATACAGGGTGTTTCCTAATTAGTCTAAAAAATTGTGGTGTGATTCCTCATGTGTTCTTAAAACAATTTTTATATAACCATTAGGTCTAAAGTACTTCCTTTCTGATCTACAGGGTGTTAAAAATTAAAAAAAAAATCGATATTTTGCTTAAAATAAATGGTACACTACTGCTTTTTTAAAGAAAATAAATGTTTTTCTTGACTGGCCATCCTTTTTCAACAAAACTGATCTTTTAAGTTTTTCTTGTTCATCAAACGGTTGCCGAGAAAAAAATAAATATATACTTATTAAGAGCCCGCTTTAAGCCGTTTTCTAACGATTTTTTATTTTTTAGATTAATTAGGAAACACCCTGTATATGCATATCACAGGCAACCAAATAAACTAGTAACCTCCAAAAATTATTTTTCCTACCACAAGCGACATACCGTGTTTTTAGTGACTACTAAATTATTTTATCAAAATTTCACCATATAAGTTTCCAGGCAATGTCCCGAAGTTTCCGGAATACAATTCGGACCACCCTGTATATTATAAACGCGAAAGTTTGTATGTATGTATATTTGTTAATCTTTCACGCAAAAACTACTGAATGGATTTTAATGAAACTTTATAATAATATAGCTTATACATCAAAATAACACATAGACTATAATTTATAAAGATATTGTGTGAATTGTTCAAAATATAACGATAATGTTGTGTTAAACTGTGAATGTGTGTCAAACGACTATTTTTATTCATAGACTATCAATTACAACTAGACACATTGTAATAGGTACTTTCAAATATTGCCATTAGGTGCTATAATAAATATTTATTACACTTTATATTAATAAAATTGGTAATACCTGTAATTTGTTTATAGGTAGTCACGCCGAATACTTAATAGCTGTGATGACGACTGCACTATTTGCTATGCTATTTAGTTTCGCAGTGCCCCTTATATTACTAGTCAGAAAAGTGGAGAGGATTTTCAGTATCCTAATCGCCGTGTTCCTCATATCGTTAGCGTTACTAATACTAACACCTCTGGGATTCCCGTATTCGGGAACGCCTGGAAAACTAGCGCCCCAAAGATTTATGATAGCTGTGAGTATACGATCGAAAAAAAAACGGCGTCAGGCATGGCTTGGAAATGAAGATCTCTGTCATTTTATATGTAAAGTATATGAGGAATATCATCGTCTTTTCCAAGCAAACTGGACGCCGTTTTATTTTCGATCAAACAGAATTTTTCATATGACATGTGTCATTTTCGTTGTGAAGTCAATACCGGATGTTTTTCAAAAGTGGCTTACTGCTATAATTTTTTTTATTTTTTCAAATAAAAAATGACATTTGCCTAGTAAGTACTATGACATAAATTGGGGATTGATTGACGTATTCAATTAGTTTCAGTCACTTCCTGTTTTACCGGAAATTGTTACAGTTTTGAAATTTAAGTGGTACCCCCATTTGATAGAAAATTACATTCTGGATAGAATGAAATATCAAATGTCAATTTTTGACATTCTCACTTAAAAATAGTATTTTAAATTTCAGTCTATAGAGTGGTCAGTTTGTAAATGTAACGCCAGTTTGACTCGAAATACCAAGTATCTGGTACGTTATTCAAAAATTGCTTTTTCGAAATATGATAATGAGCCACCCTGGTTCCATTAAAAAATGAGTTATGATTAAAAATACGATTTGGGCATCTTTTAACCAGCCAGGAAAAGAGAGGGAGAAAATGTTAGACGATCAAATCTATTTTTCAAAGCTCTTTGATTAAAAACTAATGGTTTCAACATAGCCCTGGCACTCTATATTGAAGTTTATAATGCTATTTCTTTTGTTGAAAAAAAAATGACATATATCTTATTCTATTTAGAATGTCATTTTCAATCAAATAAAGTAAAAATACAAAGGATACCTTTGAAAAATCAAAATTTGTAGGAATTTCCGGTGAAACAGGAAGTGGCCGAGACTAATTGAATATACGTCCAATCAATCCCTATTTATATCATATACTAACATACCAAATTCCTTTTTTTATATGAAAAAATAAAAAAGTTATAGGAGGGTTGGTACATTCAGAAACAAGTAGGCTGGTAGGCAGTTGGTGGCCGTAAATATTTTATTCTTTTAAAAAATAGGCCAATTTTTCGAAAGAAATTTAAAATTTTTGGCAATATTTGGTTCTGAGAGAGTGAAAAAGAGGACTGATATTATATTATTTTTATAATATAAATATTTAGTATTTCCTATATGGAATTATATTTCAGAAATGTGACGAAGGGTTTTTAAAAAGTGTAGTGCTGAGGAAGAGAATATATTTGACGAAACGTTGACCAAACATTAAATAAAAAAAATCGCTGTTTTATTTTGATCTACATCGAAACAAATATAAACAACTTTAAAAGGGAAAATTTGTTTTTTATTTAGCATACCAAACGTACATTCCACGATACCTCCGGAGCAATCACTAATGTATCCAACGGATACTGGTTGGCCGACATGGATATAAACAGTCCGCACACGTTAGACAATTACGTACCGATAATGAAAACAGCAGAACTAGTTCAGAAAGACTGCGTAGATTACCTGTACTGCGGGTTGCCGTACTTGGTACCCGTGCTGACGATGATCTGGAAGACGCATTGGGTACCTGGTCCCGAACCTACACTACTCAAACCGGTGAATATGTCCATAGTGGAGAGAAGAAAGATTGATGGGGGTGAGCGGTTCAGTTTTGAAATAAACGGTACGTAGGAAAATGTGGTAATATAACCTAGATCGTATATACTTACGTGGATAAGTAAATCACTATGGAAACTGTTGCAAACATATAAACGACTTGTCAAGGACCTATCGTCCGCGCGCCAAATTTGAAGATTAATATTAAAAATTTAATTTGTAAAATGCTTATATTTGAAGAATAAATTTAATGTTTACTTTCACAAAAATTAAATTATATAAAAAATACATTTAGCCACTCCGTACGAATATCAATATACTTAGGAAATCTAACCAGAAAGTATGCACACAGATTAAGTATACTATATGTATACAGATAAAAATCTTATCCCTAATTCGTGGTACGAAAATTATTTTGTATGACGATGTGCAAACGAGTCAAATTTCCTGTGCGCAAAAATAAACTCCCGTAAAATAACAATAAACAGCGTAATAGAGAGATATCGCTAAACCGAATAGCGTGCATGGACGTTAATAAGGCCAGATGTTATTTCCTTTACGTGAGGTGGTATTAACTCTCTTCATTTATAGTTATCAGATCGGAAAGAATTCTGTTCGCGTCGCGTCCGCTATTTAAACTTAACCTAACTTTGAATTTAAAACTTTGAAATTGTTTTGTTTACTAGGTATTTTAAAACTAAAAGGCTAAAGTGCTTCTTTCCAGTGCTTTATTGTTCAACGTCTGCCAGTGGGTTTAGAGCAACAAGCAACAAATAATTCTCTTAGAAGGCATAAGTCGTCATCTGCTGTAAACCTAAAGCTTGTTTCATGTAGACGCGAATTGCCAAACCAAAAAATATTCGCAAAATTTGGACCTATTTCATACAGTCGCGAATTTTTAGGGACATATCATTATTTTTGCTCCACTGAAAGTTACCAAAAAAATCATAACCTGAGATAACTTAATTTGTTTTTTATTCGTGTTTGCGACCTTTATTTTATACTAGCATGTACCCGCGACTTCGTTCACGTCGAATTAATCATTTGTAATTTGTAATGGTGATATGATAAAGCAAAGCAAGAATTTCCATTAACATACAAACTGGAGCAGAATCGTGGTTAATCAATTACCTAATTTTTTGGAACACCCTGTATGATTTTTTAAAAAAATTCAAAATATGTAAAAAACAAAATAAATTATACGTGTCCAAGCATTTTCCCGAAAGACTAACCGTTTTTTAAATAACAAATATTGCAATATCTGAGGGGCGTTTTCACCCTCTTGGAATTTGAGATTCAAGAAACCCTTCCTTATCGAACCTCTACACTCCACAGTCAATCCGTTTGCCAAAATCAGCATTAAACGTCAAGCAGCTTAAGCAGAATCGTGATTACTCAATGGTCATATTTTATGAAACACCCTGCATAAATTTTTAAAAAATCTTAAAATATGTAAAACAACAAAATAAAATATACGTGTTTAAGAATTTTTCCGAAAAACTCACCGGATTTTAAATAAAAAATATTCTAATATTTGAGGGGTGGTTTCATCCCCTTAGAATTCGAGTTTCGAAAAATACCTTCTTATCGAACCTCTACGCCCTAAAGTCAATCTGTTTTCCAAAAATTAGCTTTTTACGTCAAGCGCTTTAAGCAGGATCGTGATTAATCAATGACCAGATTTTTCGAAACACTGTATACATTTTTAAAGTCTTAAAATATGTAAAAAAACAAAATAAAATATACCTGTTCAATCGTTTTTTTCGGAAACTTGATCGTTTTTTAAATAAAAAATATGGTAATACTTGCGTGGTGGTTTCACCCTTGGAACTGGGATTTCGAAAATCCTTCTTATCGAACCACTACACCTTAGAATCAACCTGTATGCCAAAAATTGGCTTCTTACGTTGAGTGGTTTGAGCAGGATCGTGATTAATCAGTGAGTCACTTAACAATTTTATATATTAGTATAGATTATTTGAGGGGCGTTTTCACCCTCTTGGAATTTGAGATTCGAGAAACCCCTTCTTATCGAACCTCTACACCCCACAGTCAATCCGTTTGCCAAAATCAGCTTTAAACGTCAAGCAGTTTAAGCAGAATCGTGATTACTCAATGACCATATTTTATGAAACACCCTGTATACATTTTTAAAAAATCTTAAAATGTAAAACAACAAAATAAAATAAACGTGTTTAAGAGTTTTTTCGGAAAACTCACCGGTTTTTAAATAAAAATATTCTAATATTTAAGGGGTGGTTTCACCCCTTAGAATTCAGTTTCGAAAAATCCTTTCTTTATCGAACCTCTACACCCTAAGTCAAGGTCAATCCGTTTCCAAAAATCAGCTTTTTTAAGTCAAGCGCTTTATGCAGGATCGTGATTAATCATTGACCAGATTTTTCGAACACCCTGTTGCATACATACATTTGAAAAATCTTAAAATATGTAAAAAACAAAATAAAATATACGTGTTTAAGCGTTTTTTCGGAAACTTGACCGTTTTTAAATAAAAATATTGTAATATTCCACCCCCTTTTTACCCCCTTAGGGGATGAATTTTTAAAAATCCTTTCTTATCTCACGTAAACATCATAAAAGGAACCCCTGTGCAAAATTTCAGCTTTCTAGGGTCAAGGGTTTGGTCTGGGCGTTGATGAGTCAGTATCAGTCAGGACAGTCAGATTTATATATATAGATTTTATAGCATACAATAGCTTACTTCGAGTTTCTCTTATTACCGATTCTGAACCGTCTTAGAACTGTGATGCGTATGCCCAGAAGGAAATATGAAGACATTATTTCATTTGCGCATGCGCTGCAGAGTTCTAGGACGGTTCAGAATCGGTAATAACAAGAACCCGAACAAATCTAATATGAGTTCAAATTTGTTTAATGATTATGAATATTGATTACGATTGTGGGATTGGAACAGAAGGCGTAAAATTGCCATTTACTTATTGTTAAAACGTAGAAGAGAACGGTCATTTGGGACATGTGCAATATTTAAATTTCGTAAGCAACAAGGGTGCTTATCGCAATTTAATTCAAGAAATGAGGACAAAAGATGAGAAAAAATTTAGGAATTTTCACAGATTGTCTGTACAGGAGTTTGATAACTTGGTTGAACAATTGTCACCATATATATCAAAAACCTATCATAAACATATGCACGAGAACCCATTTTACCTGGAGAAATCCTTTCAGTTACTTTGTACTTTGTCAGCGTCGTCAAAATAATCGATAACCGATCACAACACCATTCTGCGCAAACGCGAACCTTAAAATCTCGCGAATATTCGCAAAATGTTGAAAACACTTTAACTTTCCCGCCCCCTAAATTTTAAATCTTGCGAATCGCCAAAATCTTAAAATTTCTGACAGCGCCGCCATGATCATTAAAATTGGACCAATGAGAGCAGTTTCGCAAAATCGCGATTCGCGTCTACATGAACAAGGCTTAAGTCTCTTTATAGGTTCTTTAATATTGGAAGAGGTGGAATCCATATTTTGAGCCATATTTATTTAATTAAAACTAATCCCAGCTACTTAAATATCAAATTACCTAAAGTTATAATTCAAAACAATTCAAACATAACCTAAAATAAAAGATCTCGCCGGCCGGCCCCGGTTGTCAAATACCCGCACATGCCCATTTAAGCAATTTTTAAACGTTATTTAGAAATAGCGCTTGGTGTAATTGATCCGCAAATTACGTCAGACGGTAACGTTATTAGCGGGCGTTGCGTTAAAAATTGACTCGCGTATATAGTAACCATGACTGACCATGATAAGGTACGCGTAAATACTGCACGACGCTATTCGGTTTTGCGATATCTCTCTAATAACTGTGTCGGTCAGGCGCTGTGCACAATTTTAGAGGCCATAAGTGGGCGTGCTATGTGCGCAAACTAGTCACCTAACTAGTGCCCGATTCCGAAAATTGGAACCACGAATAACAATAAAGAAAAAACAAAGATTATAATCTGTATAATCTGTGGTATGCATGTGGCTTAATATAAATAAAAGAACAACTGAATATTTTACTTGGCTATGAAAAGATAATTCGGGGACCTTTATATTAGAACTTTCACACACTATACACTTTCTAGTCATTTTTACGAGTATTTAGAAAGTCCAACGAAAAAAAAATGAAATAAAATTGCACAAACTTAAAATTAACTTCTCACTGAACACACTTGCATCCTTGGCTATTGTATGTGTTTGCCCTGAGTCTTTTTATGTTGAACAGACCGCCGTCGTATCTGTATCTAGTGCCCAATCCTCTTTTTTGAAGATTGCTGTCCACTATAATGGAGAGCGCTTCCATGAATATGAGGAGATTCGAGGCCATAGCACTGAACCTTTGGGACTTTAATTGATAAATAATTGTGCAATCCTAGCGACAATATCTCGAAAACAAGGGTATATTGAAATAAGGTGTTCACGTAGTTATTTTTATAGGGATTTATAAGGCAAGCTTTTGTGTCAGTAGCTAAAAACGTTGCAATTTAGTTGATACGTAATATATTGATGTAATATTTTCTTTTAATTTCACAGCGAAATATTTTAAATTCTCTTTATATATTCCACAGGTCCTACACATATGGGAGTCATGATTTCTCCTACATTAGGAGTTGAAATATCCAGTTGGAGTATTCCAACTCCAGAACCGCTGGCTGGACCTTTATGGAACGGCAGAAACACTTACTTTATCTATTATGCATATGGCCTAAATCCGGTACCGTTTCGGTTTTGGGTAGATTTTAAAGTAAGTTGCCTTATCGCCCACTTTTATTTTATAAGAAACACGACTTATCAACAAATCATGATTACTTGCCATGTGTTTTGCTTTTTTTTGAGACCCATTGTATACCGGGTGCGTCTCAAAAGTGGCTCACCCCTATAACTTTTATTTTTTTAGATAAAAAAACGAGATTGGTATGTTTAGTATATGACAAAAATTAGGATTGATCGACGTATTCAATTGTTTTTGGTTACTTCCTGTTTCACCGGAAATGACTACAACTTTTGATTTTTAAATGGCACCCTGGGTACTTTTTTATTTTATTCGATAGTAAATGACATTCTGAATAGAATGACATATCATATGTCAACTTTTGACATTTTTGCTTAAAACAAAATTGAATTTTAAATTTTAATCTAGAGTGCCCTGGCTATGTCAAAAACACTAATTATTAATCAAGGAGCCTTGGAAAAATAGATTTTATCGTCTAATGTTTTTAATGTCTTGTCCTGTCAAGTTAGAAAATGCTCTAATCGTATTTTTAATCATATCTCAATTTTTTCAAATGGAACGAGGGTGGCTCATTAGCATATTCGGAAAAAGCATTTTTTTACGAATAATTTGATACCACACACTTGGTATTTCAAGTCAAATTTTTGTTACGCACCGAAGGTTATAATTTCAAATAAACCATATGCGAAAATGTCAAAAGTTGACATATGATATGTCATTCTATTCAGAGTGATATTTTCTATCGAATAAAGTAAAAAAATACCGAGGGAGCTATTTAAAAATGAAAAGTTGTAGTCATTTCCGGTGAAACAGGAAGTGACCAAAAACAATTGAATACGTCAATCAATCCTAATTTATGTCATATACTGATATACAAAATCTCGTTTTTTTGATTTGAAAAAATAAAAAGTTATATGTGAGCCACTTTTGAGACGCACCCGGTATAATTTAATTTATATAAAACCTCTTTAGCTTCCACCTGGCCATCAGGGACCGATTATGGACTTTGCAGTGACGTCCCACTATCTTTTTGGCCAGGGCAAAGAGAGTAAGGCTCTAAAAGACTTAGTAGCACAATTCCCCACCTGGACTGCCGTTTCCTATTGGACGGCTTCCTACGAGTCATGGATCATTTGATAGATAAGTTGTGAATTGTTAGCCGTGTTGAAGTTATATTTATTAATTTATTACATTTCGTTTAGTTCCTTTACGAATTAAAATCGTTTGGCCAAAGATAGTATATCAAAGTTTTACAGTTATAGACAGTATTAGTATCCGAATTTCGGATGTTTTCTTTGAGAAAATTACGACTTATATTTAACTTTTTCATGCGTCCAAATGTTCTAAAAAAAACTTGGCTATTTTTTTTTAAACGCTAAAACTTTTCACAGAAAACATCCAAAATTCGGATGCATGAAAACTAGTCTTTATATTTTAAATAATCTATATGGTTTATAATGTTTTCATCCTATTGGTTTGTTATCCGTTTTATTGTGTTATAAATAGAGTCTGCATAACCATCCTTCAAGGGAGAGAGAGAGTACGATAATAGATGACGTAGCCTTGACGATCGTTGTACAGACTATATGTATTTCAAAAAACATTTATGGTTGGTTCATATTTCGAGTATTAGTCCTAACCTTATCCTTAACATTATCCCTAGGAACTTAAAGAAATGCTGTTCATACTTCTATCTATTTGTTTAAAGAATATTGTAGTAATTGCAAAACCTCTAACGAGGGGTAGGGGACTCAAAACCTCACAATCTTTTCAAATGTTTATTTCAAACAATAATTTTGTTTAAAAATGGAGCAATATGTTTCGGGAATCAGTTACTTCCCATCATCAGGCCCAAAAAGCTAACATCATCGAAATCACAGTCAAAATAGATAAGCATTTTGAGAGCATACAAAAAAGTCAAGTTATAAAATAAATTTACAAGCAAAGTTAAGAAAGGTTTTATTAAGGTATAAATTTCAATTATTCGATCACAGATATGCTATGGTAAGCCGAGTTGAATTTGTGGCAAGTGAAGTGGAAATTCCCTTCAAAAAAGTGTAATAATTTGTTTAACCTTTTTTAACTTTGTAAATGTATTTCTTTTTCAAACGTCACAAAAGTACGTATTTTTGCGACGTGATTGACAATATAAAAAGTCATTTTAATGTCTAGGCATAAAAGTAATAGTATATTACAAACCGAGGAGGGAGTTTTTCATTACTGTCGAGAGATTAACTAAATCTCGAGACAATAATGAAAACTTTCCTCCGAGGTTTGTATACTATTTTATTTACAACTACATCATTAATTACAAAATAGGGACAGTATTTTGAAAAAAAAATGCGAAAATTTGTCGTTTTCTGTTTTGACATTTCCATATCTATAGTTACCGGTATAGTCTGTAAAACGAATAACTTTGAATTTGACAGTTCCCGCGGGCTTTTCTAGTGTTAATTTTATTAGGTTAGCAACTTGCGGCCATGCTGACGCAATGCCGTCTCTAATAGAACAGCCTAGCAACGAGATTTATGACGTCACACTAGTTAGATACTACAAATTAATAACTATGTTGTAGAATACATGGAAAACATAATTATTCCTCGATTTGTTGGTTTGTATTTTAAAAATGATATAGTTTACATGAAATATATATAATATACAGTTAATAAATACAATATATATACCTATTTATATTAATAAATACTTTGGCAGATAAACTATGAACCATACAAATGCAGCAAATGTTTTACAATATGACTGAAATCATTACACTCCATAGTCAATGTAGATAGTTTTTGTGTTAAGAATAATAATTTAAAAAAAATATGTGGTCATCTTTTGACAAGTTTATATTAGTTTATTAATTGCAGTAAACATTATAATATATAAATAAATTTTGTGAATGCAAATAATAATACATCACTATTAGTAGATATTGAAAATTTTTTTGTTAAATTAGATTGATTTTCGAAACATTTGCTGCATTTATATGGTTGATGTTTATTAGTCAAAGTATTTATTACAATAAATAGGTATATATTATATTGTATTTATTAACTGTATATTATGTATATTTCATGTAAACTATATCATTTTTTAAAATACAAACCAAAATACGAGGAATAATTATGTTTCCATGTATTCTCCAACATATTTATTAATCCGTATTATCTAACTAGCGTGACGTCATAAATCTCGCTCCGTGGCTGTTCTAATAGAGACGGCATTGGTCTAATATTTAGAAATGTCAAAAGCTGATGACATTTTACTTTTGTCAATTATGACATTTCGTGTTGATTTTTGCAAGAAGAGGAAGAATTGTCACTTGTTTTATTATTTTCCTTTTCTATTTCACGAAAGTAAAAAGAGTTACCTATCTGATTCGTTCAGGCTAGTTCAAGCACTCAATTTAAAGAATATCAGTAACTTTTTTGATAGAGGGATTTTATATTTGCCATGTTGGTAAAAAATAACGGTCAAAATTCAAAGTTATTCATTTTATAGACTATACCAGTGGTTGTTATGACGCAAACCTTCAACAGCAAAACAAACAACTAAGTGACAGTTTTGAATTTCTCGTTCGCTTTTTCGAATTATATAACATAGAAAGCCAGAATGTTGTCGGAAAGTTCTGATAATGAAGAGTATTATCTGACAAACGAATCTAAAACAGCGGAAGGAATTCGGGCAAAAAAAGTCGATGTTGTCACGTTTAATTATAGAAAAGCAAAGTTGCTCGATATTACCTATAAATTGAATATATTTTAATTCATTTCAGCATACATAATTATATATATGCTAATATGTTCACGTAGTTCTTATAGAGTTAATGTATATTTATCTAATTAACTGATTTCGTTCATTCTGCCTATTATAAAAGGTAAAGTATTTCCTGAAGATAACGTCCGCATAGGGTAAGCTGGCAACGCTGACAAAATTCATCATGGCATCCCGGATTCAACCAGTCTGATTGGTCGAGATTCTCGCACGTCTTGCCTCCATTACCCCCGACTTTATGCCCCTCTCTAGGAATAGTAGAAACAGTCACTACTATTGAAAAATCCAGTGGCGGTGTTATTGTATTATGTTTTATATCTTTAACTTGATTTGTGTTTATTGTAATTAGTACACGCGTTTTAACAAATATTACTATATTTGGCAAATGACTAAACAAAATGTAGGTAGGTACATTTAAAGTAAAATAATATTATAAACTTTACTGGAAAAAATTATAAAAATTCCTGATACATTTTTATGAAACACCGCACGCTCGTGGATATTTTATGAATGAAATCGGTCACGATTTTAGAAAATTGCGATCCCCTTACCGTTGTCCCGTTGTTTCAGATCCGTTTGTCAAACTGTACTTTAATATTGGTACTCCACCAGAGCTTACAGAAACTGCAAAAAGAGCAGAAGCCAGTTTACTGCCAGACAAAAGTAGGGGGCCATATGAAATAGCATTGAAAGTATACGAAAAATGGTGTGCCGAAAGAAATGCTAAGAATATTGCTTCGGAGACAGTCTTGATGGCATATTTTAGCGACATGGCAAGGCAGAAAAAGCAATCTACTCTTTGGGCTACGTACAGCATGATACGGACAATGCTAGAATTAAGGGAAAAAACTGACATATCAAAATATCACAAACTCGTCGCTTTTTTAAAACGCCAGAATGTAGGTTTTAAGCCAAAGAAGTCTAGCATTTTTACCTTCAACAAATAAATGTATTAAAATGTTCAATTATTATTGTTAATATTCTTGTTTATTTTTGTTGATGTTAGATAAGTATTTAATAAAGATATTACAAGAATATTTTGCTTAATTAAATGAGGCGAGAAATAAGAAAAGCCGAAGAAATGTAGATAATTTGACACTTTCAAATTTTTCAAAAGTAAGTAATGTCAGTGTGTCAGTATTACATATGTGGTTGTAAATAAAGCACCTTTACGCTTAAGCATAACAGTACGAAAAAATATATTATTAAACTTGCGCGTTTGAAAAAAATAGCATGTTCTATTCGGAGTAAAAATGACTTTTGTACCTCGGCCAAAGAGTAGATAAGACAAGAGGCGACAGTTCGCGCGGTACCTTTCATGTTTGAGTGGTGGGGAGAGTGACCTCGTCTCGCTTGTCCCTTTAAATTTTCGTAATTTTTTCGCGGGAAATTTGAATTAGACTATTATTAAAACTTGCCTGTATAGCTTATAAATAGTTGTACTGTATGGCCAAAGAAATAAATAGAAACGAAAAAAAATGAGTTTTCTAAATATTATATAAAATAAATTATAATTAGAAACATATTTGTCGGGGAATAAAGATAATAGAAGCAATATTTTGTATATCGTTGGTAAACGTAAACGTAAGATAAAGTGACCAAGTCGATTTGTAAGAAATGTTTTATTTAATTATTTACGTGTATTTTTTTACATATGGACTTATGTACAAAAAAATAGAGTTGCTCAATTTTTTTTGTAAAATTATATTACAAGCTTCTAACCATGTGTTCGATATTTGGATTACATTTAGTTTAATAACATAATTATATAGTATATTTCTATAAAAATACTTTTCAGGATCCTTTGGAAAAGAGTGAAATATTATGTTTGTCGAAGAATAAGACCTATTTTTGCAGTATTTATAAGCACACACATTGCCACCATCTCGTCTTTTCCTGCTACTCGTGTCCTGTTCACTATTCATATTTAACAATAACTACAAATTAGTACGCAACAAAAACTATACTAAAATTAAACCTTAAAAACTCTCAAAACGATAATATATCGAAAAACTCTGAAAACACACTTTAAAAAGGCAAAAATGCAAGAAAACAACTAATAAGATTTGTTTATGTTTAAGCCTGATTAGCACAGCTGATTAGCGTCCTAAAATCATAGGTTAGAATAAATAAAATTCGCCGTTGTCAGATTTTCAGATTTTATCTGTTTATCTTTGAAATCGATCAACTTAGTCATTCTGTTTCTTTGATATTATCAGTACATTGCGAAAAAAGAACCTAAACCAATCTAAACTAAAAATTTACATTTCCGTATTAACATACGTTACTTATTCCTTCTTATATTATTAATTTATTTTCAGAAAATCTTGTTTATTTTTCAAAGAAATATACTTGGCAACAGACAAAATGGGACATGATGGGACCTTTAAATTTTAATATATGTCTCTCTCGCGAAATTCGACTTCTTTGTTCACTGTCGTCTCTTGTCTTATCTACTCTTTGCCTCGGCTGTAT